TTGCTTTGTTTTTTAAATGGAAAAACAAAACAAAACTATGACCCTGGATGGAAAAAAGTACTCTTAAAAAACCTGAAATTTATAATTTAAAAGATTTCTACGTTAGAAATCCCTGCTTAAAATGATTTCATAGGAAATTCTACTAAATATTTAAATAAAAATAACCCCAAACTTTTATGATATCTTTGAAGGAATAGAAAAAGACTCTACCCAATTAATTTCACATATTCAACATAACTTGATTTAATATGAGAGCCTGAGTAGGACATTATAAGTAGTAAAAAAAAAAAATTAAGCCAATTTCATTCCCTAAAAGAGATACAAAATTTCTTTAAAAAAAAAATAGCAAACCATAGGGCTGGATAGAGCATTCACCTAGCATGTGCAAGTTCCTGGGTTCAAGCCCCATTACAGAAAGTAAAAATCAACATATAAGAATGAAATTATATGACTATTATAAAAGACACAGAGAATATTTGGTAAATATATTCATGATTTTTATTTTGGAAAATCTTTTCAAAAACAGAAACTTCTTTAATGTAAAATGAGCATAATTGGTACTAAATTGCTGACTCTATCTGTGGTTGTGACTGAGATAGGGAAGTTCTTTATCCCTAATCCTATTTGCTATTGTACTGAAAGCAGTAACCAGTGTTTCAGTTCAAGGGGAAAAAGCACAATCATTGGAAAGAGAAAGAAGACCCATCCATATTCATAGAAAACATGAATGTGCTTTTTTAAAAAAATCAAAGATAATAATCTAAAGATATGCTCTTAAAATTCAACCAATGCAACAAAGAGAAATGCAAATGTAGAAAGATATCACTTACAATGCCACAAAAAATTCAAGAAACTAAAAATAAATCTGAAAAAAAAATGCAAGTTCTCCATAAATATGTCATGGAACATTATTGACAGTACGAAAGGAGACTTATATTACTAGGGAGCTACATTCAGTTCATAGATCAGAAGACTTAATTTAAAATGATGTTAATTTTCTTCAAATCAATGCACTGCTAATCAGAATTCTGGGAGGACTTTTGTGGAAGTTGATAAGTCAATGCTAAAATGTATATGAAAATTCAAAGAGCCAGACTTGAAAGAGAATAATAAGTTGTAGAGCTTATTCTACAGTAGTAGTTCTCAAATTTGGCTGTATTATCAGGGACATTCTTAGAAACCTGATGGTGACACCTTACCTCTTTCATAGTTAAATTCTTAGATCTTAAGGAAAAATCCAGTCATCAACATTTTAAAACATCTCAGGTGTTTCAAATATGCAATCAAGTCTGAGAACAAGAGCAATGTATTATTTTATATTAAAAACTAAATTTTATATTGTTTGCAAATCTACATAAATTTAGACAGGATGAAATTGGTATGAAGACAGCAATTAAATGAATGAAACAGCATAGAAGTTCTTGAAAGAGACTCAGGCATGTACATAGAAGGTATAAACATAGTAATGCATCAGAAGAAACAGTTTTTCAATGTCACTGTACTAATTGTCTGTATAAAAGAAAAAAAAAATCTTGGTTTCATCTTTAAGCCATATATAAAACTCAATTTCTTACCTGAAATTTTATTATCTGAAAGTAAGGATAAATATAATTTCTTGAAGATAACAGAATATTTTAATAAACTTAGGATACAGAAAATGTATTTCCTTGACAACACATGAAAAGGAATACAGTTATAAATTGACCACAGTAACTCTAAAATTAAAAACATACATCCATTAAAAGATACTGTTAAGAAAATGAAATATTAAGCTACACAATGAGAGGGGATATTTGCCACACAGACACTTGACAAAGACTCAGTTTTATATATATTTCATAAAATGAGCAATAAAAATTTATAAAATCTAATAGAAATGAGCAATAGATATGAATGTTATAAAGAGAAGGTTCAAGTTAACCAAAAAAGCACATGAAAAAGTGTTAATCTCATTAATCATAAGGGAGACATGAGCTACCACTGTATTCTTAGGAGAATGACTAAAATTTAGTAGACCAGTAATACCAAGTGTTGTCATCATATGGTTTAATTGCAAATCTCATAGACTGTCAACAGGAATGCAAATTGGAACTGCTTAGACTTTTTAAATACCTACCAAGTCTGAATATTTATATACCACATGACATAGCAAACTATCTTATTGTTATACCCAACTGAATGCATATACATGTGAACATGAACTTAACAAGAATGCTCATGACAACATTACTGGTAACAACTTCAAACTGGAAACAACTCAAATACCCATTAGCAATAGAATGATAAATACATTGTGGTTTATATATCCAAAACATATAATATGCACTAAAAATGAATAAACTATATAAAACAATGTAGGTTAGTTTTTAAAACATAATGTTAAACATGTATGCCAACTAGAAAAGAACACATACCATAATTCTCCCTTCTTATAACATTCATAAATGGACAAACATCATCATAGTGGTTAATTTGGGGGAAGACAACTGAAAAGGGGAAGGCATAATAATTGTAGTTTTCTATTTCTAGACTACAATAATGGTTATATGAATGTGCTTATTTTGTGAAAATTCATCTTGATTGAATTACAACATAGTAGTAAAATAATAAAGTATGAAGAAGGTCTAAACATCTTTCATTTGTAAAACAACATAAAAATGTCATTTCTTCCCAAGTTAATATATTAAATAAGTACACTCAATAAAAATCCCAGCTGGATTTCTAATGGAATCAATTGATTTAAAAAATGTATTCAAAAAGCATACCTAAATGAACTTAGAAAAATGGAATGAAAACAAGGGCGTGGTCTGAATAAACACTGACTACATATTAACACATTTCAGAACCATTATTACAAAAATAGTGTGATCATTGATTCAATTAAGAAAAATGTAAACTAAAGGAATAGAAAACATATCAGAAACAGATGGATTCATATGTGAGCACATAGTATGATGTAAAGGTGGCAATGAAAATCGATGGGGAAAAGATGGCCAGCTCAAGACATTATTGTATAGAGAAAACTGAAATTGTATATCTCTACACCTCCTGGCAAATGTTCTCAAAGTGGACTAAAAATCAAATGTAAAATGTAAAACTGTAAAGTTCGTATAAAATATTAAAGAACAAATCTTTCCTAGACATGAAAAACATCTTAAAGCCTTAAAAACTTAAACTATGAGACAATTTGGGGCTGGCTTAGAAACTGAAGTCCAAGTATGGCACACTTGAATAAAGATGGTCTGATTCCAAATAATCAATGTACCAATGAATTAAACAAAACTATATAATAAGCTGTTCCAATTAATTATTTTACAAGGGTGTGGAGTATGTGCATGCGTGTGTGTGTGTGTGTGTGTGTGTACATACAAGTTGGAGCTGACATGTGTCAATCTCTATTTCATAACACCTAGCAGATACTCCTTGACTATAATGGTTTTACCTCCTGAAAAATCCATTGTAATTTGAAAATATAAGTTTAAAATGTGTTTAATATTCCTCACCTACTGAGCTTTATAGCTTAGCCTAGCCTACCTTAAACATGCTGATAACATTTACATCAGCCTAAAGAGTTGTGCAAAATCATCTAACAGAAAGCCTATTTGTAATAAAGCACTTAATATTTCTTGCAATTGATTAAATACTATACTGAAAATGAAAAACAAAATGATCTGTGAGTATGCTTTTTATATCAACATAAAGTTGAAAAATTGTTTTCTATCCATCATGAGTCAGAGACTGTCTATGAATGGAAAAGACTTACCTACCAACAGTTTTTTAAATAATTTTCCCAGTATTTTGACTGGAATCTGACTCTATTATTGCTTCAATTCTATCATCTTTTTTTCAAAGTCTTTCTCTCTCTCCTTTCATGTATTTTATTTAAATTTTTTTTTTAAGTTGTAAATGAACACAATACCTTTCTTTAAATTTATTTTTATGTGGTGCTGAGGATTGAACCCAGTGCCTCACACATGCTAGGCAAGTGCTCCACAACTGAGCTACAACCCCAGCTCAGCTACAACCTCATCCCTCCTTTCATTTAATTTTGGGGTGCTAGGGATGGGACCTAGGGCCTCTTGCACACCAGACATGTGCTCTATCACTAAACTATAACCTCAGCCCCAATTCTACCCTTCTGTGAAGAAAATTACATATTTTCCTGGAAAAATGGTTCTTATATCTTGCATATGTTCAAACTAAACATTAAAATATTCCAGGTTATATATGAGAATTTTTAATTATCCTCTTATCTGAATTAATATACTTTAATTAGTTATACCAAAATTTGATAATTTTAATTGAACTATGACTTTTCAATATAATTTTTAAAAATTGTGATGAATAAGCATCATTTTCTTGTTTTGTTTTATTTTTATTGACCTCAAATTCACAATTCTTCTGCCTCAGTTTCTAAGTAGCTGGGAAAATATGTATACACCACTGCACCCAGCAATGAACATCGATTTTTATACCTTCAAATAAAAATTGCCATTATTTAAGAAATTAGGAGTCAGGCCGTTAGTGAAAGAATAAGGGAAGCATTGATGAAACACAGACTTAGAAATCCTAAGAGCTTGGGAAACATTTCTTTGAAAACAGTGTGCTTTTGATATTTGTTTTTGTTTTTTTCATTGGTATTTTGTTTTATATTCTAGGAACACATATCAATAACTTTAATTTTTTCCTCTCTTGATTACAACCAGTTTCAAAGAATAAGCAGAAATAATTCACCATTCATGGAACTATTGAAAGCCTACAAAAATCCCAAGAAGCTTCACCTAAATCCTTATCCCCATTCACCCCAATGACTTACCTAGGCTCTTCTTTGTTTAATGCTATTGGGTCTTGACCATTCATCAGTTAATTAATTTCTTTTCTATGATCACCTTTCCTTTACAGAACACATATATTCTTTATAAAAATTTCCCCCACCAATCCCCAAGAATATACACTTTAGAAGCACTTTTTAGCTAGTAAAGGAACCAGAGAATGCTTACCTTCAAAATAGATGCCTGACTGGATTTCAAGGACCCTGGGGAGGGTCCTCAGGTCAAGAGAGTGAACAAATTCTTCCAATGATAATGCCATTGCTCTGGCTTGGGTTGTGTGTAGACTTGGTTCTTACAAAAACTTGTGGCTTCTGCGTGTTACTTGTCTACAGCTCAGGTCCTTGTTCATAATTCCTCCCTTAGGCAGGCAGGATGTCACACTGGAACCAACCAGGGTGAAGCATCTCTGTGGGGAGGTACTCCACTGTAGTTGCTGTCCTTGCTCATAATTCGTCCGGGGTCAGGCAGGCAGAATGCCACACTGGAGCCAAATCCGGTGGAACAGCTCTGTGTGGGGAGGATAATAAGGGTATGAGGAAGCAGGAGACAAGTGTTTTACAGCTCTTTTTGTTCTCCTTGTGGCTTCATTTCCTTCTGCCACAGTAGAACAGGATGGGGGGTGGGGTGATATGAGAATTGGCAAGTAGCTCACTCGGTCTTTTGATGGCCCAGGTGTGCATCTACAGTCATGCCAACACTTTCGGGTCAGAGTTGTTGGTGGCTTGTCCGATAGGAAAGATCAGAATATATCAGTATAACTCAAGTCTAATCTTAAAAATGACACTGCATTAATTCATTATTTCTCCAGTTCACTTCAAAGTTTGGCTTCATGCCGTATTTGCATACTCTTAGTGCTTTTATATTAAGTTTGGTTACAAAAGTGCTTTGTGTCAGCTCATTTTAGAAATCCGATACTCTGGAGAGAGTATCGAAACCACTATTTATTCTTCCACATTAAAAATTTTGCTGAATCTTAAAGGAGGGTGGGGGAGAGATACAATATGCAAAGTGATACAGTAATTGATAGAGTAAAGCAAAATAAATTTTCTAATCTCCACACTGTAGTGGAAAGTATTCAGATCAGGTATTAGTAAACCTGGGTTTCCTAGCCCAGCTTTGCTTTTGATTTATAGGCAGATTTCAGGTCGTCTTCTCTGGTCCTTACTTGTCTCATTTTCTAAATGCAAAGGAAAAAAAAAATAGAAGAAATAAAATAAATTATATAATTTCTTCTGAGGCCTAAATTCTACAATTCAAATGTTGTGGTCCAAATTTGGAGTTCAAAATGCTCACAGCCAAAGCGAACATGGGCAACTTCATGAAAACCAGTCTTTTAAAAATTCCCCTCCTCTCTATTCTCTGTATTTAACTCAAACAGCATTTTAAAGCCAGAGTATACAATTCAAAGTGATATGTTTTTAAAAAATCTTAAGTGTAAATAAAAGAAGACTGGTTGATAGAGACATATTTTAAAGATAGCAGGAAGGTGCACATACTCCTTATAAACTGGAGTTCAGACTCCCTACTGGCAACCTGTTTTGGCTTTAGGCTGCTGGGTTCATAGCCAAGATGGTACAGATTCTGGTCATTCCCACTCTCTCATGTGCTTTATGAAAAGACCCAGGAAGAAAAATACTGCCCGATTTTGTTATAGAACTCACTAGACAATTTCTGGTTTTCATAATTATAGTTGACCCTTAAAATAATTTGCCCAGTTTTACTTCTTTCTTTGCAAAACTGGAAGTTATGGTGGGTTACCTCAACTGGTTTTTCATTAATAGCTTCAACTTCCTCCCTTGAAATGTTTTTACCCCCAAATCTTCAAACTTGATCAGTCTGTCATCTGCCTTTTTTCTCCTCAACCAACCATATTGGTTACCTCCTAACAGTTTGCTTGACATGATTCAACATTGGGAAAGAGCTGCTCTGGACCATTTTGTAAAAATTGTACATTCATTATAATGGGTGCCATAAGGAAGTTTTATTTATGTCTCATCCAAACTGGACTTAATTTAAAAAAATTCCCCAATCAACTTTCTATCACTCTAGCTTTTTTTTTTTTTTTTTTTGGTACCAGAGATTGAACTCAGGGGCACTCAACCACTGAGCCACATCCCCAGCCCTATTTTGTATTTTATTTAGAGACAGGGTCTCACTGAGCTGTTTAGAGCCTCACCATTTCTGAGGCTGGCTTTGAACTCATGATCCTCCTGCCTCAGCCTCCCGAGCTGCTGGGATTACAGGCGTGAGCCACTGCTCCCGGCTCTATCACTCTAGCTTAAGCTGATAAGATTTCATAATACCAACAGTCTTTTGCAATTACCTATTATACCCCTGGTTCTGTTCTTTTGACCCGTGACCCTCCTTCCCTGACAGAATCTGCTTCTGTTGTATTCCCAATCTTTAGTTAATAACACTACATTCCCTCAGTGTCCCAAGCCAGAAGTTTTAGAGTCCTGTGAGACACCACCTTTTCTCCAGCCTCCAAATCCTTGGAGCCCCAGGAATGACACTACTCAATGCCACTTCCTCCATCCTTGCCCCCAAGTTTCATTTCTACCACTTTAGTCCAGATTGAAATTGCTTCTGTCACTATAGGCAAAGTCATCCTGATATGAACAACCACAATTAAATTGACAATGTTGAGCATTTTCTTGAACTACCAGGTAGTAAAATGAATTATTTAAGTTTAAACATTAAACTTAATCATTAAGTATTTCAATAATCATTAATGATTAAATGAGAGTACAGAAAACACTCTATATAATAATTTAAGTTTAATCATTAATGATTAATGAGAGTACAGAAAACAGACTCTATATAATAATTTACTTATATACTATATGGAAATATTGGAATTCCAAAGCAGTAAAGAGGAAAGAAAGTTTTATTTGACAAATGATTGTTAAATAATATTTTTTTAAATTTCATAACATGCCATGAAAAGAAATTAAATTTATATATATTTCAAGTTAAATTTAAGTGAAAATAGACAAAGGGAAAAAATAGAAAAGTGCCCAAAAGAGGGTAAAACAAAAACAATCTCAAAGCATCAATTAAAGCTTAAAAGGAAAATATTAATAGATTTGACAACAAATCTATGAAATACTTCTGTACGTCAAAAAATAATTTTAAGAAAATGGGGGTAAAGCACACTTCAAATGAAGAATGAATGTCCTGTATGTATGAAGCATACTTATTAATCAAAACTTAAAAGATATTCAAGGGCTTCTGCTTCTGGCTATGAGTTTGTATCCAACCAACTCTCTTACCAAAGGCACCAGAAAAGCTGGATGATTTTTTTTAAAAGCAGGAGAGCTGTCAGGGCAGTTGGGACATGAGAGGTCAAAATTCTGGTGAGAGGCGAACACAATGAGAAATACCCAGTATTGTGCACTTCTTCCTCAAGGCCTTTGTGGATTGGTAATTGGCACCAAGAGGCTGAGAAGTAAAGCAAAACACTGGTAGTTAAGAAGGAGAGAAGGTGTATCAAATTTTTAGCAGTTTTCAGTAGCTAGAGAGAACAAATATTGGAATTTGGAACTAGCAAAGCATCTAGGAAAACTAAGAGAAATGTTTTGTTCAGCCCCACGTTTTGCCTTCAGGATTTTTGCCTGCTCAAAAGCAGCACAGTGTTGATTGTATGAGGCACAAATTAGAAAGTGATTGGTAAGAAGCTGAGGAAGCCAGCAGCACTTTCAGCAGCCCATACAGAGCTGTGAAGACAGGACCTGCCAAGGAGGAGGGGGAGCCCCTGCAAATGCCAGCCTCTCAGTGGGGGCCTCTGAAGGCTGACAGACAAAAGCAAAAGTAAATGCTCTCATGGAGGAAAAGCAGCCAGAATTTTGATAATTCTTTTTTATAACACATTTAGAATTCAGTTTTTTTTTTTTTTTTTAAGTAAGGATGCCAGAAAAAAAGGTAAAGAAGGAAAAATGAGAGGTCCAGGTATAGAAAAAAGCCATGGAGTAAGTCAGCTATTAGAATTATTAGGCAATTTAAAATAAACTTTCTGCGTCTGATGGAATGTGCTTATAATTCCAGCTACTTATTAGGCTGAGGCAGGAGGATTGCTTGAGGTGAGGACTTTAAAGGTCATTTGGGCAACTTATCTCCTGTCTCAAAAATAAATAAATAAAATAAGATAAAAAGCCTTGATGAACACATGAACACATTCAAAACTAGAAAACTGCCATCTATAAATATGTATCCAGTGAAAATTCTAGAGTTAAGAAATGCACTAAGTAAAATTAAGAATCCAAATAACAGGTCATACAGTAGAGAACTGTTAAATAGGAAAGCAGAAAATATTTATCTGTTATAGACAGATTTGTTTTAAAGTAGAATATCAGAAAAGAACATGAGGGATATTTCAGTCATAATAACTAGTTCTTATAATAGATACTGAGTTCTAACATGAGAAAGAATAGGGAGAGAAACAATATTTCAAGAGACAATGGTTTCCCCTCCCCCCGCGCCTGCAAGGTATACGGAACTGTGACCACCCACAGAACAGGCCCAGCGGCCTGCTGAGGGGCAGAGCCGCCCCCCACCCCCCGCGCCTGCAAGGTAGGCGGAACTGTGACCACCGACAGAAAAGGCCCAGTGGCCCGCGGAGGGGCAGAGCTGCCAACCACGCCTGCAAGGTAGGCGGAACTGTGACCACCAACAGAACAGGCCAGACCTGCAAAAGACAGACAGAACAGGCCCAGCGGCCTGCGGAAGGGTAGAGCCCCCCCCCCGTGCCTGCAAGGTAGGCGGACCTGCTACCGACCGGCAGAACAGGCCCAGCGGCCTGCCGTCGTGGTAGGCACATTGCCCCAATTGGAGGAGAGGCAGAGCCGCCACCCGCGCCTGCGAGGGAGACTTTGCAACTATACAAGACCAATATAAATATATAGGGGGAAAATTCAATAGCACAACAGTTTCACCAAGCAGAAAGAAATGCGAACAGTATGAAGAGACAAGGAAAGAAAGGACCACAAGCAATGCAGGTCAACTCAACGTTAGAAGAGGTAACAGCTGCAGCAGATGGAATGTCAGATAAAGAATTCAGGATATACATGCTTCAGATGATCTGGAGTCTCAAGGAAGACATCAGACAGCAAAATCAGACAATGAAAGATCACTTCAACAATGAATTACATAAACAAATCCAAGAAGCAAAAGATCAACTATACAGGGA